GTCCCCACTGCTACCACCATAGTCCTGGCTGCCATTATTTCTGCCCTGTTATACAAATTCCCAACTGGTTTTCCCAGTTCCTCATATCCCGCTCTAATCTCCACATTGCCCTTTAAAATATCTTTTTAAAAAAATTCACATGGGATTTTATCACTTCCCTTTGAATCCTCCAGTAATCTACTTTCATTAAAACTCACGATTTTTAACCAGACCCAGCAATGAGGTGTTCCCTCTCCCTTCTATAAAGCACTTTGCCTCTCTTAAGGCACAGATTTTATTCTAGCTTTTATTATGCCCATTGGTTTACTTGTTGAAGCTCTGGCCATATATAACAGGGACTGAATCAGTATTTTAGTACAGATGAGGTTTCAAAGATCTCATGTCATAAAATAGAAAATTAATACTTGCTTCGGCAGCACATATACTAAAATAAAGTAGAAAATTGTTTCTACACCACACTTACGGTCTTTTTTTTCTCATTTTTTCTACTTCAGTGGTCTGTACTTATGCTAAGTTACCTTCTTTTAAGATTATTTCATTCTTTCCTTGTTATTTAGTATGTTTTATTTATTATTTATCTTAACACTATTTTCCTTTTTACTGTATAATTTTTTTCTCTCTTTATGGAGATATCATGGACATATAATATTGCTAACACTGCTTTTTATTCTTTCATTTTTTTCAGGTGTCCACCTCTATACCTGTGCTCTTTCATTTTTCTGTACTACTTGTACAGTATGTTTTTTGATCATTCACTTTTAAATCCAAATATGCTTATGAGTCAGTGCAAACATCTGACCATTTTATTATGTCTTTTAATATTCCTGAGCAATTATTATTGAAATAGTCATGCTTCAACATTTTAATATTCAACAGTATTAAAATAAATATTGTCATAATTTACTTTCCTTTTAGTTCTCCTCAATATTTTAGTTAGAGCATTTACCTTTATTTTTTTTTTAAGTTATAGTTATGTGTAATTAGCAGTGAACTTCAATTTAGGCTGGCCCAGAGAGCATAGCTCAGTATCTATGATAAAAAGTGGGTATTTGTTCTGATTAAGTGAAGACCCACTATTTTAAGTAATCCTTCGAATCTACTTTGAAGTTGCCGACAAGTAGGGTGATTGCTCCCTGGTTTGCCTGGAACAGTCTTAGTTTAATCCTGTTATCCTGACAGAATTATTAATTATGTGCCTTTCAGTGTTGAGAATCCCTGTTTGGATGATAAATTGTCATCACACATTTTCACAAGCATTTCTTCTTTATACTCTCTTGATCTTATTATTCTCATTTTCAGCAGCATTCTCTGTCTCCCCTCAGACTTTCTATATCCTTTGACAAAAAGTGATAGGTCCCTCCACTATTAAACTTTTCCCCACTAAAACCTGCCAGCATTCTTTTTTACTTGTCCTTGAAAAATCTAAGATAACTGTATAAATATCTTCAGTGCTTTGGCCTTTTTTTTTTTCCCCTCACTAACTCAATCCTGTCTTCACCAATTCTCTTCTATTTTTGGCATTTCTACCTTAATCCCTTTTCCACTTATTTTTCTACATAGCCTTACTCTTCTGCCAGATTTTCATACTTTCACAAAATTAATTTTGCTTTATCTGACAATTTGCAACTTCAAACTTTTGCCTATAAATAAACCCTGTTAGTTATTTTATCCCAAATTCTCTTTTTGTTTTGATGTAAACGCTCTGGTGTTAACTCGCACTAAAAAAAGCATTCCTCAATTCCATTTTTAGCTGACTGTTTCATGTGTTACCTTTGGATCATACCATAAACTGCTCTTACTCTGATATAGAAGTACTTCCAAACAGCATTCTTTTGCTATTTATGAGGAAATGCCATATTATTGCTTTATTTTATTTTTTTAAGACATAAAGGAATTTTAGCCTATGGATTAAGTTGTTTAGCTCCCAAAAGTTTTAAAGATGCTTAGTCTAATAAAATACACAGAACATAAAAATTACCATTTTAACCATTTGAAAGTATGCAATTCAATGGCATTAAATACATTTACGATGTTGTGCAACCATCACCACTATCTAGTTCTAGAATTTTTCATCACCCCAAACAGAAACCCCATACCCACTGAGCAGTCATTCCTTATATTTCCTCCCTTGGCCTGTGGCAACAACTAATCTGCTTTCTGTCTCTATGGATTTGCCTCTTCTGAACATTTTATATAAATGGAATCATATATTTTTTAGTGTATGACTTCACTTAGCAAATTTTTTCAAGGTTCATCTACATTGTAGCATGCATCATTACTTTATTCTTTTATATGGCTGAATAATATTTCAGTGTCTGGATAGACCACATTTTGTTTATTCATTCATCATTTGATCAACTTAATTTTTACCAAATCTCTACTCCAAGATAAAATGAGTGTTACAGTAGCATGATAAGTGAAGTAAATAGTAAAAAGGTATTTTTAAGTGGGTTTCTTAGAGATTGGGTATGTGGCTAATGCTATGGTATGGATCATGTGCGAGGGGCCCTATTCACCTGTTTGGATGCCAGAATCTTTTTCCTTATTTTCTTTCTCCACCACCCCCATTTTTTTCTTATTTTGATAACTAAGTTATGTTTTGTTTTTTCTTTACCATGGTATTTATAGGTTTTTGAAAATACAGCTAAATAAAATTACTCATAGTTCCACTCCCCAAAACCAATCACTATTAATAACATTCTGATATAGTTCCTTCTGGTCATTTTCTTATGTTTGAGTATTTTATTTTATTTTCACTTAATTATGATCACATTGAATAAAAATTTTATATGCTGTTCCTTTTTCATAAAATTCATTTATTTAGTTGAATACCTACAATGTGCTGGTCACTATTCTTCACTATTTTTATAGTTGAATACCTACAATGTGCTGGTCACTGTTCTTGATACCTCTGATGAATGCATAAGAAGTTCTGGTGGGAATATGGTTCAGAAGTCATCAGCTAATAGATGATGTTTAAAGCTAATAGATGATGTTTATAGATGATGTCTAAGACTTCCTGGAGTAGAGCCGATAGCACTGAGGTGAGGACCAGGGCTCAGCCTTAGGCACTCCCATGTGCAAAGGTCAAGCAAAGCATATTGAGGAAGGAGCAGCAGCCTGGTAAAAGGAGAATATGGAGGAGAGAGTGTTTTGATAGGGAATGACCCCTCACATCAAGTGCTACAGAGCGTCTGAGTGAGATGAGGAAGAGGATTAACTGTGGTAGTTTGGCAAGATGGTGGTCAGAATGGAGCAGAGAGGAACACAGCCCAACTGCAGTGTGCTGAGGAGCAAATGATAGAATATTTTAACATATTACTATGTTTCATATATTCTTTCTTAAACATAATTTGATGGCAGAATAAGATGCCAATTGTACATTTTATTTAAGTAGTTAAGTAGTTATTGTCTTCCTACTTTAACATTTACATGGTTTCCAGTTTTTCTATCACAAATAAGACCAAAGTGAAAAGCTTTGTAAACTAGCATCATTTCCTTTGAGTAGAGGCACAAAAAGGAAGTTGCTGGTCTGAGAGCAGGGCATTTTTAAAACTTAGGATTCTCATTCACTCAAATCCTTTCTAAAAGGACTGACTGGTTTGCACTTCCTCTGTCAGTGTCTGAGGGGCCCCAACATCTTGACTGCAATTGTCAGTTGGGTCCTCCCAGAACAGGTGTCTTCTTTTATTAGCTTACAAGTTCTTTTAACTTGACCAGAGACTTGAATGACAAGAACCAAACCCACATTATGGAATGAAAATTATATACCGCTCACTAAGTAGTTATATTAAACAGAATACACGTGCAATAATTACCACTCTACGTGGAACCACAATTTAAATGTGATGCTGGTGTTTGTTATTAATCCTTTTTCACTGAGGTTCTGGTGAAACTTTAAACCAGATATGGCTGAGGGAAATACTCAGCCATGATTTTCATCCTCCATTCCTATGCATTCACATAAATGTGATCATTGTTGGAACTTAATGGAATTTACCCTTTTCCAGTAAACACCCTGCAATTTCTCATTGCAGCTGCCTGCTGATATCAGGGAATGATGTCTGCTCTTTCTATGTGTGCCTCGGGTGGGGTTTTATAAACATTCTCAGCTTGTGGCAAAGAAAGAACAACTTCCAGACTGATCACCATCTCAAAAATGTCCTCCTCTCCCCCTTCCTATTCTTCAGAAACACCCTACCACTTTATAGTCATTTCCTGGTCACATGATTAATTGTCCCCCCTTGAAGCAGCAGCTGGGAAAAGGGAGCTGACCTCAGCTGCCTTGCTGGGTTTGCTATTTAACTGCTTCCTGCCCAGCACAGCAGTGCCTCACCCAGGGCAGGCAGTGACCAGTGTGCTGCTGGTGCAGATTCTAGGGAGGTGCTGGCTCCACAGTTCCTCATCTCCAGTGATCTGCTCCATTCCAGCAGGACAGGTATTGCTATTTGCTGAGCCTTAAGTGGAAAGATGGAGTGTCAATTGTGTCCAACACGAATAGACGTGGTAAGAGATATGCATACACCTCTACCTCCCTCCCTCCCTTCAACTGGGTCATTTTCTAGAGAGATCATGGATCACTACAGATAATCCTCAAAGTGGAAGCTCCAGTGGTTTATAACAGCTCAT